CACATCAAAACAGTTCAGTGATAAAAAGTAAGAGGTTGATATCAATAGTTTCTGGTATAGAATTCATTTGGGTTCCACCCCCACCCCCCCCTTTCTGCTGCCTTCTAGGTTAAATTGGCTTGGTCAAGAGGCTGTTCAAAATAAGTCTTCTTAACAAGACATAAAGTACATTTGTATGTCAAATGGGAAGACTAAATCGCACTTACTTTTGAAAACTGCAGAAGATAATTAGAGAGTTCTGTAGATCTTTTAGGAGTGTGGCTGAGTAGCTGTAGACCACAGAATAGTGATTATTTTTGGAAGTTCCACATTCAGTGTCTTAATACAGTGAGCATGTATTTTCTCAGTGCTCTGATTGGTTAAGCAAAGCATCTTTATAGTCAGCATGACACAGTTGTTCCTCTTTATCACCCACTTCCTTCTCTCTAACAGAGCATTTGTGCTACCTGAGCAGGCTATGCATGTTGGTATCATCATTAATTATTGTGCTCTTCAGTCTTTTTGAGCCCAAAGTTTATGAAAAGCTCATAGGTGCAAAATCAGTTTGAGTGGTTCCATTTACAATCGTTGTTTGCCTTTTCGGGGAGGGAGGAATGAGACTAATTATTGAATTTTTTTTTTTTTAAACCAGATTTCACTTTTGAAAGAAGAAAATTTATGTCAATATAGTTTATTATGCAAACGTAGTTTACCATAACTTGGAGCGGGTTAATCGGTGCTGGCTCTGTATGATGCTTTACTTAGTAATTGTTACCCTAAAGATTAAACTTAAACATTAAGATATTTTACATGAGGATTAATTATTAGGATATTTTATCTGAAATATTCTTCTCAAACCAGAAAGAAAACACTGGAGATAAAAGCTTTGATCCTATAAATATTTAAAATAGATACTTTTTTTTTTCTAATGTAATGCTTTGTTGCTTTGGTTGAAACCATTCTCTTTAAAGCCAAGTATGTTCTTGCATCGTTCTTTCGGGTCTTTTTGGTATCAGTCTTTAATTCAAAATGCCAGGAAAAACTGTTTATAATTTGCATTGTTGTTTTCCTTAAATTAAAAATAAGCACCTGGAGTTTCTGTGCAAATAATTAAACAACTATTAATAGTTTTCAAATGCAAAACAGAGAAGAATCTTATCTTCAGGTTTTAGCGATGTGAAGATACAGATCTTGACTGATAAACTATACAGCTGAAGGACTCAGTTTCCTTAGTTTGTGGAAGTTCAGCATATCTGAGAAGACTATTTATTACAAGTTAATGTGTTTTTGCAATATTTGCATTTTGTTTGCAGGGGTTTTTTGAAAAAAAAAAACCAAAAAAACCAACCAGTAATTCTGTTTCTACTTAAGTGCTGGATGGAGACTTTTTGGAATATTTCTTTTGTGGAGGAAATGGAGTCAGCAGTGAAAGCAAGGAAATCTGAATGTATTCACTAGTTCTTTGCCTTTGGCAGATTTTAATCTATACTCTGTTTTAGTTTAGTCCCAGCAAAATTGATCTGGTAAATCTGTTCTGCAGCTCTATCCAGCAAGGAGAGGGAATTCTGTTAAAATAACTCTTCATCAATCCTTTCTTCAGGTATTTAGTCATTGCACTGTTGATAGAGTATCTTATGCCCTCTTGTCTAATTGTCAAGTATTATGGCATTCTTCTGTTCAGAGTCTTTATCTGTAGTATACTGACATCTCTGCTGTAGCATAGCAAGAGGTAATTAGTTACAATGTAAGGGAACTTGTTCCAGAGAGCCAAGAAATAACTCCAATCTGTGGAAATTAGAAACAGTCCCATACATCAGAAATGTCACTGGGAGAAACTAAAAAGGAGAATTAGATTTTGAAGAGATCTTGAGAAGGTGAACTTCAGGTTGGAAAGCTGACGTCTTCATCAGTTTGCACGTATAATCGGAACAAAAATTTAAAATAAAAAGGGGTAGGATTTCAAATAGAGCAAGAAGGGAAGAAAAACCAAGTGGAATTTCTCTTGGAATATCAGTATAGGACTTGAAGGATGATGCTGAAGAGACAAATTGATAGGGGCAGGTAGATGACTTTTTAGTGCTTTCAATGTTTGTTATTAGCCTTCTGAAGGGTTCTTTTTATTTCTTTCTTCTCTTCCGAATTGGTAAATGAGAACTTCATTTTGCAAAGCGGTCATCCATTGTTCATTACTGTGTTACTGACATGTTTCCTGGTTTTAAGTGCTTAACAGCCCTGAAGCTTAGGGCTCTTGGCCAGTAGTCAGTACAAAGCCTAGGTAAGTTACATGTTGTTCCCAGAAAAGTTCATTCTTTTGTAAACTTCGTGCGATTGGGTTAGTGTTTATGTTTAGGGAGTTGGGAAGCTGACCTTTTTTCTGTTCACCTATGTTATATGTGTTTTGTATGGAAACACAGGAGTTTAATTAGCATGCTAACAAATCTGTTCACATGGTAATGTTAGTCACGAGAGCTCTCTTCTGACTGTGCAGGTTGGAGAGACACAGGGTATTGATGTCTGAAGGGAAGGGGGCAAGCTATCTTAATGTTCATTTTATTAAGATAAAAGTCAGAGAGGGACGCAGGAAGAGATCTCAATTCTCGTGTTCTGTGCCCATTTCCCATTTGGTCTGAACATACTTTCAGCATTGTCAAGTAGACTTACTACATTACACTCCTGTTTGCTATGTACGGTTTCTTTGACTCTTAAGTAGCAGCAGTAGCTTTCACTGTGCCGTTACTTTCTTGTAACAATACTGTAGTTATCTCCAGTCAAAGGAAAAATAACTGTGTTGTACAATGTTGTGTCATCTAAATATTGGAGGGAGGCCTTAGACACCAAAACAGATTTTATGCTGAGCACCTTCATTGATTCTCTGTGTGACCACACATGAGTTACCCAATTATTCCTGTAAAACAAATTTAAAAGTTAATATAACACTTACGTGGTCATTAACTTGCAGAAGGCAGTCATGAAACAAAACTCAGAGCTGTGGCTCTTGGTGCTTATTTGGGTCCATAATTCTCAATTGAAAAGGTGTTCAGTCGTGGTGCTATGTCATGCTTTCAAGAAGAATACACCCATAATGTCCTGCTCTTCACATGGAGAAACAAACCAGTTTCCATTTGATCTTATTTTGTTTCTGTGGTGCTTGTGTAGCTGTATCCATGTTTACTAAGAATACCTCCACCTCAAAACAGCTATGTTCCTTTATGAAGAGGAAAGTGTAATTGCAAGCAGCAAGAAGAAGGCCAACTGTCTCAGGAGTAACTTCTACCTGTGTTCTGAAAAATCCACTTTTGGGTTTGGGAGGTGCATTTCCTTTTGTAGGAAGGCAGTTCAGTTTCTTTAATCCATGGTCAGTATGCTCTTTCTTAAAATTCTGGTGCAGTGAGAATCCTGCATGCTCTTAGCTCTTTAGCAAGGAAATTGTTTTGTGTACATGGACCAGGATACAGCAGTAAGATTCAGAAAAGCAGGAAGATTTTGTCAGTACTGGACTTAACATTGGGTCCTCACGCTTCCACTGGCATCTCTGCCTTTCATGTGATTCACACCTTTCAAAGGTTGCACAACCCTTTGCAAAATTTGACATTAAATTTTCACAGCTTTCTTTCAAAAAATGAAGTCTCCAATCTTTATTGTACTCTTTTGTCCTGTTTCCTTAAGGGAAGGAAAGTGTTAAATTTTTATTTGTGTACTATTTTCCTTGACTCCCATGCTGTTCACCTCACTAATCCAGAGGCATTTGAGCATGGGAGATGTCTGTGCTATCTTGCACTCTCACACAGCCTGTCTTCTGTTAGGAACTGGAGATTTGTGTCTGGGATTTGTATCATTATCGTACTGGTAAAGGTTCGGAAGGGCATTCTTTCCGGTGTGGCACTTCAGCCCTAGAATAGTAAGCTTTTCTAACAAAGAGCTTAGTCAGATGAATTAGTTTAATAAATATTTTGTTGCTCGTACACACATGCATAGTTCATATGTGTAGACATATGCACAGAGCATTAATATCTCTGCTGATAATTGATTTATGTGATACAGTTTTAAGCCATCTTTAGAGGCAGAGTAAATCATACAGGTTTAGTTTTAAATACTACTGTTTATATACAGAATGCAGATTTGCCACTTGAGGCTAATGTTAGGAGTCACAATAACAACATTTTTGTCTCACTAAAGTCTTAAATTAAGGAAAACTGTCCAAGTTCACATTCATGCATATGAATTTTGAAAGCTGAGTATAATAATGGATTGATGTATTACTAGCTAAGTAGACAGTTTTCTATTTGTTTGGAGATCTGCGATATGCTAAGAATTAATTTGCTATCTGCTAGTCACTAATTTTAAGAGTGCAAGAGTATATGTTAGTTTACTTTGGTTTATTTTTTGTCTTTGCTACATTGCTATATGTAATATTAAAAAAAAACCTTTTTACTTGAATCTTTTCTCTTTGTCCTGATAGATTTTTCTAAAATTTTCTCAAGCAAACAAAAATATAAATATATTTTGGTTAAGCGAATACCAGTTTTCTGACAACAAGATGTTACCGAAGTTAACAAAATGATAATTTGGTTTGGTTTGTTTTTGTTAATTTCTTGTAAATCAGAATAGATTTTTTTTTTTTTAAATCAGTTTCAAAACCTGATCTGTTCACTGCGGAGCAATAGGAATACATTTTCTGTAATAAATGCATCTTTAAAATGCGTGTAACCTATTTCAGTTTTAAAATCATACATGAAATTGTCTATTTGTGCTATTATAATTACAATGCTAACAAGAGTCAGTAACTGTCCAGCTAAAAATCTAATTTGGATGCCTAGAATAATAAGGGGAGAAATATGATAAGTAGTTGTCAATATTAAAGCAGGCTGAAGGAGGAAGGCTTCGGGCCTTGTAGTAGGTAGAATGAAACAGCAGATTTGAGTATCCACAATCCTTTCAGTATTAAATTTTCAGTAAAATAAAATTACTTGTATATGAAAACATAGCCTTTCCCCAGCTCTCTTTTTTTTCCTGATCAGCTGATGAAGAGACTAGCAGCTCGCTGCTTTGCTGGCTTGTTAATTTTATCCCCACTAACTGTGATTTCCGATAGCCGGCCTGCTGATAGTGGTAAGGTAAATATCCTTTTTCATTGCCGTCTTGAAGATTCAGTAGAACTACATCACAGGCATGTGTAGGTGTGTAACACATCAAAAGTCAGTGTTCTTCGTATTTCAATGTACAACTGACTGCTTAAGGAGAGCAGTGACATTAACTGTTGACAGCCTTGCATGCTGTATTTATTATTAGCTTTTCTAGCTTCCAAGATTTGCAGAGAAATTTCCTTTTCTTAATCTTCGTTAGCTGCAATGGTTTATAGTGGGTGTCCTGCTTTAGCCAAATGAATATTAATGAATTGTGTGCAGGTTATTTTTTTTTCCTTTCGTTTTTCTTCCTAACTCATCAGATCTCAAGCCTCCTTCATAGTGGTTATCTGAATGCTGTGGAAGCATGATGTAAATTGTCTTTTGATTATTAAGGCCTAGTTTCAGGCTGTCCCTCAGGATTCTGCGTTCGTGTTTGTTCTGTGGATTTGCACAACGGAGGATGCATAGGAAACAGATTTTGAAATCCCACTGGTGTTTTTAACATGCCAGGTTGTTTAGTGTTGTGCATCAGGTTTTGTTCACAAAACGTTTTTCAAGAGACATTGTACACAATTGAGAAAAATTATGTCTGGGCTGTAATCACTCTTTTTGTATTGATTGTTATGCTCACATGATCATAAATATTAGCCATGTTTGGTGCTGTGGAGAAATGAAGGTAATTGCCTTATGATTAGAGCTCTTTCAGCTACGAGAAAGGATTGATTAGCATTTGCATGTACTCAGGGCAATATTGAGAGGCAAAAGGGACAAATATCAACATCAGTTATGTTCTGAGAAAGCATTAATCAGAAAGCCTAGTTTTAAGATTTTTTTTTCAATTTTTTTTTTAAATTTTTAATTTCTGTTCTTTTATGACCTGATATTTTTATTTCTTTTCTTTTGTTGGCTTTCCCAAATTAAGAAAAGTTCAGCTTCTTGCTTTATCACATGGCTCCGATAGTCAGTGTGTGAACAGGTTCCCATTATTCCTAGTTTATTTTTTTGTGGCAATTTTTTTATCCCTCTGCACAGTGCTGCTGGGTCTCTAAAAGCATACATCCAGGTAACTGAAACTAGTGTTCCTTGTTTGTGGCTGGGGGGGCAGGGGGGGTTGGTGATTCTTTTTGGTTTGTCTTGTTTTTTGCATCCCATGTTATGAGTGCTTTCTACCGTAAAGCACTGTATTGTCAGTGCTTCTGTCTATCTGTTGGTTACTTTTCTAGAAGAAAACGATACATTTTAGAGATGGTTTTAATGCTTAGGCGATTTGGAAGTTGCTTGAACTATTTGGAAGAGAAGTTGAGTTGTTGCTGCATAAGGTATCTGTGTGTTGTTTGTGTGGACAAAGAACTGTGTGTGATCTGGCTTTGGAACCTGAGCGCAGTTTTGGTTGTCCTGTTTGAAAATGCACATATCAAAGTCTGTTTTGCGTGGAACTATATAAACCAGAACTGCCACTGATGTGCACAAATAAGTATTTGTTGTACACTTACTGATATAGCACCACAGGCCATTATTGTGTGTGAAACTGAGTTGGTGTGGAATTCAAGGTTCAGATAAACACGCATCTATTTAGATGATAGTGGAATTCTTAGAACAAATTAATGTTTAGTGTTTCTTTGATTGCCAGTAACTCAATTTCTTGTTGCTCTCTTGTTTATAAATAAGCTGAACATTTTGAGTCAAATTATCTGCATCCTGTGGGGTTGTGGTTTTGTTTTTAAATATAGTTTATTATTTCCCTTTTCAATATCTCTTTTGTTTAAAAATCATGCTTTTTGAATCCATGGTTGTCAGGCAATTGAAGACGGCAATTTGGAAGAAATGGAAGAGGAAGTCCGGCTTAAAAAACGGAAGAGACGAAGAAATGTCGATAAAGATTCTGCAAAGGAAGATGGAGAGAAAGCAAAGAAAAGAAGAGGCAGGCCTCCTGCAGAGAAATTGTCACCCAACCCACCCAAACTGACAAAACAAATGAATGCTATCATTGATACTGTGATAAACTACAAGGATAGGTGAGCTTGGAGACAGTCTCTCTCTATTGTATGTGCTCTCTCCCTCTATGCTGGTATCCCTCTCTGTGTTTTTTTAACAGCTTCATTTTTATTTTCAGTCTTTAGAAGAGTTTGCTGACACAGCATTTCTGAAAAGTAATTCCACTTAGAGCCTGATCGTGTAGGTCTCATTGTTTGTAGAGTGTTTTTTAAAAACCCATCTGATAGGAAGTTGTTGAAACACAAATACAAAAATGAAGCCTGGAGCACCTGCTTAGAAATGAAGTAACTCTGCTCAGGAAGTATATTAAGAACATTTAGCTTGAGCGGGATTTTCCTTCAGTTTAGTGGTGCAGTGTGTGTTCAGATTAATCTTTTCAAATACATGACTACAGATTTATTAATGGGTCTTACCATGACCTGAAAGACTGCCCAGAAAATGTAAAGCTCATATCACGAGCCTCTGAGCTGCCAAAGGAAAAACTGTAGAAATACTGAGCATAATATGTTGTCCACAGTTGAGATGGAAGCCTGTTTGTCAAGAAATCCCTATTTTCAGCATAATAAAATGCTAACTAGCTGGACCCTGGGAAAAAAATAGCACTTTCAATCTGAAATGTCATTTGAAGACTTCTGTTTTGCACGTTTTCAAACAGAAAATCATCTGTGCTTCATGAGGAAGAAATGTAGAATTAGCTAATAGCATCTTTGAATCAGACTTGTTTGAGAAAACTGTATTTTTTAACTCAACTTCTATTTGCCAAAAAACAGTAAAGCTTTCTTGTGTACTTAACCATTCTTTGCTGTACATTGAATTACTTAAATTGTATAAGGAACAATTATAAGCTAAATGAGTATTAAATGCATTCAGAGAAAATCAATAAGTATTTGCATTAGATGACTCGCACAAGCATAATATAATTTTTGCAAGTAAACAACTTTCAGTCAGTCTGTGACTTCAAATGGCAAGTTGCACTTTTTCGGTTTTTGCAGCTACTGTTCTGGGTCTGCTGTACATGGCTAACTTGGGTGGTAGTCAACATGCCTGACTTTTTTTGGCCTGTAACTTGAAATGAAGCATTCTGTGATCTGTGGGCTCTCTAGAGTACGTAGCAAATTTTATTGCATCAGAATAGGCTTTACAGCAATGAACATGACCACAAAGTCAGTGTAGCTTGCTGTGATCTCAACTAACAGAGTAGCTGAGAAGGGCGAAGTGTTTAAAGTTAGGATATTCCAGTCAGCGCTGCAAGGAAGCATCTCTTCATTTTGCATCCCTGGGCTTGATCCTTCTTCTGTTGCCGAGCACTTCCAACCCCTAACATTCTGTGATTCTGTGATCAGGGTGCCTACTTCTAATTTTTAAAAAAGCAAGCGAAGTTACTTCCACTAGTCTTCAGCAGGGGATAGCTACTGATAGTAACTGATAGTTACTGGGGAAGTTAAAGATTCTTGCCAGTCACTTGTGCCCCAGGAAGTTCACATCTGATCTCTGTCAAACAAGTTAACCACTGTGCTATTGTTTATTGATAAGATGTACTATTACTGCTCCCAGGAGCCCCCATTTATGCGAGACAGAGTTGGTGCCCACATTGAAAGCTGTATGAAGCTCTGTTCTATTAGGAATGCCTGTTAAACTGAGCAATGAGCTATGCAGAAGAGTTCCAAGTTCCTGTCTTCTGATTTTTTTGTGACCTACCATCAAACCACCTAATCCTACAAAAGGTGGGACAGAACAGAATTGCAATTTTAGGCATCAGGAAACTTTAGTATCTTAAAATCTTTGGAAACTTCAGTATCTTAAAATCTTTGGGGTTGAGTTGTTACAGAGTTCAGTGAACATTTTCTGGATTTACAGCTTTAGAATTAAGTGGATTTTAGGCATTTGAACCCTTCAGCTTTGTTGGAGGTTGATGTGTGGTCAGCTCTGGGCTTTTGTGTGAATGAAGGCAATTGGGGCAAATACAGAGGGACAGGTTAATTGGAAGAAAAGTAGGCCATGAGCTTCATCTGGGGAATACATGAATATATTTTTTCATGTGTTTAGTATTTGAATGCTTGAAATCGTCTTTGTCTTTAGCTTAAAATTTCAGTGCTAGTAGATGTTTCATCTCTACTTTATGAAAGTCCAGAGGGCTTATCCAGACCACAGAGAGCTGTTTGTGTCCCAAAAGGTGGTCAGGTGATACCCATCCAAATTCTTACTGACTTCCACCTGAGTTACAATCCTACAATCTATACTAAGTTTTGTTGCAGTTAGTAAGCCAACAGGCATTGCTAAACAAATAAATCTGTGTGCTTTATCTCATGTTTCCCCTTGCTTTTGAGAAGAGCTCCTTGTAAATACAGAACCGCTTCTCTGTTCTTAAAACCTTTCTTTTTAAAAAGACTGTTTTCCATGGTGCCTGCAAAAATCTGGAGTATGAGTTGCCTGCTTTTGTCTAGTGATTCTGTATAATGTTGATGGCAGGGAAGGAGTCTCCAAATCCTTTCCTAACTGTCTTGTATTTGACTTCTGTAGTAGGCATTTGGCATCTCCTTCCTTATTTAAAAAGCATCCAACAAAATAGGCTGAGTTGCCTATGTGTAGGAAAGCTAGAGGCTACAGTAATACAAGCAATAGTAAACTGAAGTTTGAGCTACAGTGATTATATAAAGGTCAAAATAAGATTAAACAGACAAATTAGCAACATTTGAGGTAAATGTTCAATGTAGAGAAATGCAGCATATGATTCTTTGAAAAGGAAATTCAGAGGTAGATATCCAGCTACTTGCAAACCCCTGTTAAAGAACTGTGGAAGTTAGCATTGAGGTCAGGCCAAAATATAAAGTTTTAAAATATTGATATTGGGATGGTATTCATGGAGGACCAAACACAAGTCTGGAGTAAAAGAACTGGCATGAAATACAGTACCTCAGAGTGCATTATAAGGTACTTACAGACTGAAAATAGGAAATACTTCTTTTAGTTGGAAGCTCATCATGTGGAACTGCCAGAAAAAGTATGACCCAGGCAAAGAAATTATTGGTCAAAGCTAACTATGAGCCATCGGTATTGTCCAGCCATAAGAAAATGGGAGCCTGGCCCTGACACTATTGCCTGTGTGGATGAGGAAATACTCTTTATAAGTGTATGCCATTATATGTGATACCATTAATGCTTCTGAGTTGCTGTATATAGTGCTTGAATACTTTTCCATTCAAGAATGATTAGTTTACATTGAGGCAAGGTAAATGATTATTTCAATTATAAGTGGCATGGAAGAGTCTTGCAAGAGGAAACTGGTTTGTTTATCCAAACACAACACAGAATCTGAGAGGGGAAGGTGATTGCTCTCAGTAAATTCACCTGGGAAAGAAGGGAAGCATAAACACAGAGAGAGTGTAGAAATATATGAGATACAGGATGTTGATCACAAGGTTGTATAGAATCATAGAGTCATTTTGATGGGAAAAGACCTTCAAGATCATCAGGTCCAGCCATTATCCTAACACTAGCAAGCCTACCACTAAACCATGTCCCATATGAGTGTAAACATTCATGAATACATTCAAGTTGTTAACTTGAGTTCTGGAACGTTTCCATACGGAATACCTATATAGATCTGTGCTTTTTTTCCTTGATTAAAAAACTTATATACGATTATTTACAATACCAAGTCACTTCAAGGACCTGGAGACATCCTTCCAGTCACACAGTTGATCCTGGTTCTCCAATGTAAAGTATACACATCATCTTTGCAGACTGCATTTGCAGTAATACATATTAATCTGGGATTTTGTTGCAATTATTTCTTAAAGTAAGATATAGGTGCCTTTGCTTTGTTCTTTCTTGTTCTAATCTTGCAGTGTAAAACACCTGTTGAGAGAAGAGCGAATTGAAATTCATCAATCCAGCACTATTACCACACTTTTTTCCACTTCTAATGTTTTTAACTTGTCTTTCCTTCCCTCCAAAATTAGGAATGCCCATAGAAATGGTTTATCATAGAGTCATATATGTAATACATATGTTTTCAGAAAGCAAAATTAGCTTGTATGTCCAGTTTAAATGCTTTAGGCTTTTGAAAGCAGAGACAGTTCTACTAGACATATGTATTCTTTTCAGAATAAGGAATTTGTATGTCAAATTTGAGCCCCAGCTGCTGATTTTGCATCATACACATGCAGGCTTAGTCCCCCAAACTTTTTCCTCTTTTGAAAGTTTTCCTTTGTTTTTTATTTCAGAGGAAGACAAAATACAAGTGTAGCTTCCTGTTACTGATGGTTAAGTAGAGAAAAAGAATGATACTTCATACCTTGTAATCCCTCAGCTTCCCTACAAATCCATGTCCTTGTCTGCCTTTCACCAGAGTTTGATATTTCCTGTCTAGGTGCCAGTTTGATACTGCAGCCGGTTTGCATTAACTTTGTTTAGGTAGTAACAGCTGACTTCAAGAGTCTCAGGACACTGATAGCTCTATTCCATGCAGTGATTTTCATTTGTGATCTCCCTGCTCTCTTTGTTCATGAGACTCAAAGTAAGGACTTGCAAGGTATAACAGTTAACCTCACAAAGGCTCCACCCCATAGTGGGTGGCATTTTAATAAAGCTGCAAGAAAGTTGAAGGTGGAGTTGTGCCCTGTCTATGTTTCCTGCTTGGCAAGAGACTTCCCCTTCTGTGGTGCTTAGCATTTTGATCACTGCATCATTAAAGCCAAAATGTTGAAATTTCTGGCCATATTATTCTAATTTTGACAGGACATAGCTCAGGGAAAGTTTTTTTCTCTGATGTGAAATGGATTTTATTCAGACTATCTGCAGCTTTTTTCTCAAGTTGCCGGTTTTTAACTGTTGTAAAACGGTGAGTAATGTAATTAGCCATTACTAATCTGACTAGTAATTAATTATGCCAACTGGTACTCTGGAGTATTCAAACATGCAAAGCAAATAATTCTTATTTATAGACAAGCCAAAGTTACGGAGTACATAGCCATTTGTCAAAACCAGGAATTAAATTTTTTAAGTATTTTTATCCACTTCTATTTCAATGATGGGGACAGGTCCACCATAATTATTACAGTCAATTCCAAAAGGGAAGAACTATTGAATACATTTAACGAAAATTAATCATGTGCCTATATAGCCTGATTACTGTGGGAAGTTGTTAAATACAGAGGAACCACCTTGCTATGTAAGCTCTTTCAACTCTCCTGCAACACACACTCCTTTTTTTTAAAGAGCATCCTTGTGAGTTGCATTTGATTGGGAGTTACAGTTTGCACGCTGTGGTTCTGGTTGTGAGTGCTCTTGACTAGGGCAAGAGTGCAGGACTCTTCATTCTACTCACTCTAAATTGAACACTAATTGTTTGTTGAAAGGGTGAAATTTACCAGAAATAAGGTAAGTCTGGCAGTTCCAGCTTCATAGTTGCCTCTTGATTCCAAAGGAGAACGTGTTGATAGTAATAATATTTTTGACAGGTTAGTGGTCGATTGCTTCTGGCCCCATACTACCAGGGAAAACAAATACAAAAGAAGCCTTATACAAATGAGGCATAATTATTCCTGCATTTAATTCCACTGAAGATGATCATGACTAAATGGTGGAAATATATGCTTGTATGCACCTTGTAAGCAGTTTGACAAAAATGGCAGAAAATCAGAAACATCGAGCACAAATATGTTTCTAAGCAAAAATACTTTAAAAATTAGCAGTATTTTGTGATGTTTTTTAACTCGCACAGCATTTTTTTATGTGAGCTAGTATTTTTTATGTGAGCCCGCATAGGACTAGCATGCTGAGCTGATGCAGTAACAGTGAACTGTCACTCACAGTTCTTTCACAGTCAGCTCTTTTAATTTATTCTGGTCCTTCTTCCCTTCAGCATGTATCCCGCTAGTTGCTAGGCAACTGTAAGTGATTTTTACTGCGCAAGATTTTTATGTGGTAGTTGTTGTGATTATTATTTTCTAATTACAGAAGTGGGGACAGGGATTAAAATCAGAGTTGCATTAATAATTACTCATTTTCTCTGTTGTATCCACAGCACAGCCATTTGAGATTATGTAAGAAAAGACCACATTAATTTACAGTATAGATGCACATATACAAAGGGAGCAGAAGATAGTATTTCTTTGTGAGAGGAGGTTCTATAAAAATGATAAAGCAGAATAAGCTGCTGTTGATCTGAGTAGACAAAATCAGGCACTAGTATTCTGTCTATTGCGTGTTTCATGCCCTTAGTGCTTTTTCTTTCATGGCCTTAAATGATTCTCAGTAATTAATTGTGTCAAGCAAAAGCTTGAAGGTTTTCTGTGGCATTCTTAGTTTAATAGAATGTGTGAACAAATCACAGTTGGCTAGATTTATATCTTGAAAATAGGATATTACGGTTGAATAATTTGCTACTGTTATATTTTTAATATAAAATACAATGTAAGGATGGGTGAGTGTAGGTAAAAAGAGAAAAAAAATATATAGCCATGAGATAAAAAACTCTGCAATCATCAGAAGCTTTTTTAATAGCACAAATATACTAAACATTTTAAAATTCAATCAGAATTAGATTATTAGTAGCTGTTCCTTAAATTATTCTGTTTGTTGTTAGACACTGAAGCATAATTGAAGCAACACAAGCATCAGTGGCTTAGTAATTTTTCTCAAGTAGATATTTCTGTTAAAAGAAAGCTGCTGAAGTTTAAAACACAGAAATGAAAACTCAGTCCTTCTGCATAGCAAATCCAGATTCACACTGCACAAAGTTTTGAAAGCAACTTTTCACAATTTTTAAAGGACTAGCTTACATCTATATCATGTCAGTAAATTGCACAGACGTATTAAAATAACTGTATTAAGTTTGTGAAGTCAAGCACACAGATAAATAGGATATAACAGGAAAAAGGTGGAAACCTGATGTGGTTCCCTCAGGAAGGTGCGTTACAGTATGCTGTGTAATGGTGTGACAGTGTACTGCTTTGCTTTGCTTTTCCACAGGGCCAGTGCCTTGCACATACAAGGTGAGCATTGATCACTTAATGAATGGCTGCATTCCCCCTGGGCTTCTTCATAATGCTCATAAGGAGTCTGAATGTCTTGCAAATACAGAACTTTTTCACAACATTTTATTCTCAGGAATAGAAATGTAAAGCCACCATTTGGGCACCAGAGTCTGATTTCTCAGTGTACTTAGTGTTCTGTAGGTTCAGAACAAATTTCACTCATCTCAGTTGAAGCTGTGAGTGCTCAACAATTCTCTTTTTTAACCAAAAAAAAAAAAAAAATACAGTCCTCAATTTGCAAAGAAGTGGAAGCATGTTAATTTAGTCAGTTGTATACTGTGTATTTAATGTGTTGGTTTTCCTTGTGTTGTTTCCATTTTCTCTTTGAGAGGGCAGTCTGAGATGAAGACAAATTCTGTCATGTGGAATGACAGAGCCACTCACATAGATCATTAGCAGGATTGGTGCCGTTAAATCCATAGCATAAACACCTCCCACTTTGCCATGGGAAGTATGAAAGTAATGAATTTCTCTCTTTGGTGTGAATGAGTACCAAAGGAGATGGGAGGTGCTGTGGCCTGAGTTTCACAATTATTTGCTGCAGGAGAGAAATAGTAAGTCTTGGGATGGCAATTTTCTGATCATTTTGTGATTTACTCTGCTTCAGTATCAGGGAGTTTCCCAAATAAATTAGATCTGTTGAGTGAAATTGCTGGTAACTGCCTGGAGTGTGAGGTCCAGGTGGTCTGTGAGGGTGTCTACCCCAACAGCTGTATGGGGTAGACAGAATTCACTCTCACCTTCTCTGACAGTACCTCTCAAGACAGTACGCTGTCTTGTCTCACCGTGCAGCAGCAGCACCCAGAAGTGCATTCATGCCTGTTACTGCTAAGCAGGCAAGGGGAATGGCTTCTGCTATTGCAAGTCAGGCAAAAGTTGTCAGGATGAGGCAGTGGCTTTTGGTTTCTAGTTTTGCATTAGATGGAAAAATAGTGTAGCTGCTGGTTGGCGCCCAGGATATTGGTTGAACGACACTGATTAGCAAGCTGTGATTAGAACATTTACATTATTGTCCTCTCTGATGCAAGATATATAAGGAGCAGCAGTATTCCAGGACTAAACCAAGAAGAATAAGAAATCTAGGATTAGGTGAGCAGACAGCTGCTTAGGAGATGAGGTAGTTCTGGTTATTCCTGCTTGTTCACTGGTCTGTCAGGTCTGTAAGAAAAATAGTACCTCTGCAAATTCTGATGCTATTTCAGACATTAAAAAATGCCTAAGATATAGTAGGCATTCATGACTTTTGTAAAAGGCAGAGCTGTTCTGTGCTTTTTATCATCCTTATCCTCCATGGCAGAACTGCCTCAGCTAACCTTCAATTCAGTATTAGTTTAATGTATCTGGTAAGATCCTACACCACTGTGGAGGGTGACTGCAAGAGAGGTGGATACCAGGACTTGACAGCCTTCTTGCCCAACTCCTTTGAAGGTTTGGTATCCCTGAGTTACCATCCAAAGATGCAAATGAGAAAACAGAGCGGTTTTGAAGTAGCTGTGAGAGGAAACATGTGAATGTGGGCTGGGATGTGCTTGTGAATGCTATGTGCAGTCTGCGAGAAAAATGACATGCACACAAGAAGAAAAAAAAAGACTTAAGCCCGTAAGTGCCATCAAGACTTTCCTCTGCAGGTGACTTACAGCCATGTGTTATTTGGGAAGCCACAAATAAGAAGATTTTAAAGATCCCTCAATTTGGAAGTGTTAAAACAGCTATTAATAAAGGACGAACAGTGGGAAATCTGGAAATCTTAGAAATTCTGAACACCTGTCAGTCATAGGCAATGTTCCTAAAGTATGGTAATGCATCACTTTATTTCAGATGACTGAAGAAGTGCAAATGGCAGTAGTGATTTTCACTACAGTTGCAATGATCTTCCCAGAAACCTAACAGTCATTAATGGAAGTTAATTTTTGTTGTTGTTGTTGTAACATCTAGTTGATAACTATAGATATCTTGTTGATAACAATAAGAATCTGGTATAATTGAATTTTGAAATTGAATCCATTTGAACAAATGGTTTGCTATGGTGGGGAGGTACAAAACAACTATAAAATGACCAAGAAGAAGATAAACTTATAGTGACAGGAGCGATGCTTGCTAAAAATTCTAAAAAATGCGAAAAGGATAAGACTGTATTTGGCAAACCACTATGGAATTCAGATTCAAGTCCTGATCCTGCTTCCATATTCCTCCAAATGTGATTCTATAACGATGGTGATATGTTAGAACAGCAGCACAAAGAATACGTTTTAAATTGTAAATTAATTTTCTGTACCAAATTAAAAAATCAGAGCAGGGTTCAATTTCTAATTCTTTGTAAGAAAAAATCGTGATTTTATTTTTTTATTTTTTTCTTATGATTAGATTGTATGTGTGCATGCATTTTTGTTTGAAAGTTCTCGTAATTCTTTGCATTGTGGGTTTGTTTTTCTCAACAGTTCAGGACGACAGCTAAGTGAAGTCTTCATTCAGCTCCCATCTAGGAAGGAATTACCAGAGTATTACGAATTGATTAGGAAACCAGTGGACTTCAAAAAGATAAAGGTAAGAATGTTTTTTGGAGGTGGAGATTCCTCAGTTTCTTTTTATTAAAATGCAGAAGGGTAAGCATGAAGTAATCATTAAAACTACAATGACCTGAATATTGTATGTACCTGTATTCGTGGCTTAGATTTTAAACATTGTTACACACCTCGTTAGGAATTTTGTTTAGTGTGTATTGCAGCACATCACTGTAATTTTGAAGTGAAATCAGAATGTAGCAATGTGACATGAATGACGGTTTCAGAGATGACATCAGTGAAAAAAACTAATTGTGAATCTGTAAGCACATCTTCGGTGAAAACACAGTGTTTGCAAAGTTTTAATGGTTCTAATGGTTCTATAGCCATCCCTAAACTAGCTTCACATGTTGGAACAGACAGGTCAGATCCAAACACAGTTTGGCAGATGGGATTTAAGCAGCTTGTTGTGTGTTAGGTAATGTTATAGCCCTATGACTTTCATTCATGTCATAGCTTATTTTGTTTCTGTCCTATGAAGGAGAAACTGGAACCCCTTTTGCGAAAAGAGCTCCATTTCTGTTGATTTTGTCCATTCTGGTTCACAAGCAATTGCTTATTTTTTACTCTATTACCCTGGTGGTTTTTTTTTTTTGAGTAATAAGATAACAATACATTTTAAGACTTTTATTTGTTAGTTTTAAACAGATACTTGTGATCCTTAGGCAAAATTTTTAAAGAGAAAGCTTTTAGTATGTTGAAATCAAATATTAATTCAGTGTCCTGTCTGCTGTTTTTCTTTCTGCACTATTGCCCACCCATACTTCTTTCCATTTCCTCAACAAATGCAACAGGAAAGAATCCGCAACCATAAGTATCGGAGTCTTGGAGACTTGGAGAAAGATGTCATGTTGCTGTGTCACAATGCTCAGACATTCAATTTGGAGGGATCACAGGTCTGAATGAACCACTTTTTGTTAACCATACAGGTTTCCCCTACCTAATGTTTTCAGTGCTTGTGGATTATTATATTATGTATATAAACCCTGTGTTTTAATTTTTACTTTGAATAGAGAAAAATGCCCAGATTCTTAGAATCGTCCAGAATTCACTGGGCACAGCTGCAGTGTGTGCATGCAGAGAAATTAGTTTTGACTCTAATTCTGATACCATTTTTTTCTGATCTATGTATGGTTTAGAGCTGCTCTAAGACTATTTTCTTCTACAGTAAAAGGCAGTGTATGTAGAGTGATACATTGGATGATAGAAGGAGCAGATGTAACAGTACAGCTTAGGACAGGATGTTGAGGAAATAGTTCATATTGAACTCTTCAGTTCTGCTAATGGAAGATACAAATTAAATGTTTGTCCAGCAGTAAACCTTTGTGTATGAAGCTTTATACTCTCTGGTAATTTTTTTTTTTTTTTTTTTTGAAAGATCAGTGTCCATTTTAAGAGACAGTGATAATAAATTCCAAATGAGTCTCAGAGGTTTAGAAGCCAAAATCTCTCATCTCAAACAAGATGTTTCACACACATGAATGTGCTTAGTGCTGTGAATGTAGAACAGGACACTTGACACAAAAGAAAAGACTACACAATCTGGATGACAGATAAGGAAGTTGTCTCACAATACAGTGAAACATAGTCTTGGATAATTATTTTTATAGATTACATCCAAATAGTGTGATGCAAACATAGTATGAAATTGAAACAGAGAACATGAAGACAACTCCTGTAAAGCGCAAGAGGAAAAAAATGATGTTAAAAGAAACCTAAGTAAAAGTAAGCTGAAGGTTGATGTTGCCAGTGTAATGCATCCTTCAAATTCCTAAACATTTCTGATAACAGTTAGCTAAACTGGGGAGTTTATATTAAAATTTAAGAATTAAAAATTAAAATGAGCATGCAAGTAATTATGAAGGATTGGTGAATACAGCTCATCATTTTGTGATTATTTTTGCTATCTAGAGACTGAAAGTGTTTTCTGTAATATATACCTGCGGTATTTTTACTGCCTTCAGTTATATGAAACAACCTATAAATAAATCAGCTAAAAGATATTTTAATAAGAAAAATAATGATGATAGGAAGCATAGGACTAAGTTTTGCTACATGTCCAAATGTAAATTGCCAGTTTACTGCTTAGTCACATAGCAATAAAACAGCTATAAATATGATATAATGGATAATGAAAACAAACAAACAAAAAAAAAAAAAGTGAAGGAAAGCTAATACCAAAAAGTATCACTGAGACTTTAGCAAGTGGTAAAAGTTATTAGAGGAGGTAAAAAGAGGCAAAGAAAAATCAGTAGCTACATGAGAAAAATAATAGAATTATTCTTATCAGAATGACTAAAATTGCTAATAGGCAACTGATCTCTTGTTAGGCAGAGGTGGTAGAATTGACAGAAATAATCCTGACTGGGCAGAAATGTTCAGTAGATACTGCTGCTCTGTTTGGAAATAACCCAACCTGTATCAGAGTGCTGCAGTATTATTTTCCATTCCAATGTACCAACATTAATTACCAGAACTAGTATTGAAATATAGAAAAAGTATTACTTTTTATAGCATGAAGCACAAATAACTCATATCTGTGTTTTTTTAATATTTCTTTCTGGTAAGTTCTCATACCATTCATTTTGATATCCAGTAAATTACAGGACACTTATGCAGCAGTCCTCCAGTTTTTAAGGCTACCTCATGTTCTTTGTAATAGTTTGGGTCCACCTTGGCTCTGACATACCAGTTCACTTCAGTAAACGATTATTTGCATGTGCACCCAAAACCAAAAGGCTGATTCAGGCAGTTAGGTACACAGTGACTTCAAGTGAAATTCTGTGTGTTTGTTCTGTTTGTATGATGCATGCTGCTTTTCCTTGGAGCAAAGCAGTTCCATCTGAGCTGGAGCCTTATGAGTTTTTTTCAGGGGGAGACAGATTCCATGTTTTGAGGCCTTTATCCTCAGGTGCAGCCACAGTGATCTGGAAAGTTTTTCATCTTGTAATGGTCAAATGATACACAGACATGTAAGGGGTTAAAAATAGTTTGTGACTATTGAAATTTGTCATTAATTTTGTCATTTGTTGTGAAGTTTTGTTGTCATTGCTTCTCCTTTTTTGGAGGAAGTTCCACTGTCATTGCTGCTTGGGTTTTTTTGAAACCTGTTGGAATTGGATTTTGGTCAAAATAAGAAAATTTCTATTTATACAGCTTTTCCTGAAGCAGCCCCAGGTTTTTTCTGAGTCAAAATAAACCTTGATTATTACAAATAATTCCACATTAATAAGGTTAAAATAGTTTCTAAACCCCTTTATTTCCCTAAGAAATTCTATTTAAAAGTCTGGGTTACAGTGATACCTTAAATATGTGGTGACCAGCATTAAAAAAATACAATGTTGTACACATCCTTAATTATTTTTGTCTTAGAAAAGTATATGGTCTGAGAAAAGACGGCAAGGTTAGGTGAAAGAGCCATTCCTAAGAACAGTGGAGTACGCTAGGCCGATGCATAAGAAAAATAAATGGTCCTCAGGAGGAACTCAGGGGCTTCTGTCATTAGCTGACTTGAAAAGAAGTAGGTGTGAGAGAAAGTCAATAGTCATTTGACTTCAAGGAAGGAAGCCATGGGGTCTCACAGCCCACTAACGTCATAATACAATAGGAGAAAAGCCTTTGCAAAACATTCATGATTGTTATATGTATGTCAAGAAATTTTACCATGGTGAAGAGCAGTCAAACATCCTACAACAAAAAGCACAGCAGTACTTACAGAATGGGGAACAACGTGCAGTGAGAGACAGTTTTTCTAAAATGGACTTGACAGTCAAGTGAGAAAAGAAAGATTGTGTATTTCATGTAAAGTATGCTGAACAAAGTTTTTCTAATTATTTTTGTTGAACCTGCAAGTATTAGAGCAGTTTTATCAGTTTTAACATATGGATTGTAGAATGGCAGCCAAAAATCCTTCCATTATCTTTCTCACAAATACCCAGTGTCCCTTTATACAATGGACAAGGAAGTGTGTAATTTAGCCTGAGGACCAGTATGACACCGAAGGTAGTTTAAGTGACGATGACGAGAAACACAAATACAATCTATGACTCTGTAGTCTTCTGTTAACTATTCTTAATTGTCTAGTGCTGAATTGTCCAATGATTGGCTTCTGACATTTTTCAAAACAAAATGTACAAGCTCACTCGTTAAGGTGATTATGAAAGACAGATGCTCAGCGAGACAAGAAGATTTTTGCTGTGTTCATCTGAGAAATTGTTGCAAGCCAAACATAGTCCTCTCACTCTTGAGAGTCCCCTCATGCTTGAGGTTAAAGAGAAAATCTGATGTACCCAAGATACTTAGCAACCTACAGAACTGAGAACAGGTGCTAAGATTAGAACAAGCACTGATTTATTTTTTTTTTCCCCTAGTCTTTTTAGATCTGAGAGGAAGGAAGAAATGAGCTGCTTGGGATAAATCATTTTGCTTGTAGCCACTTCAGAAAAAGCTGAGGATAATTAACATGAGGGTTAGCCTTGTTAATTATCAACTGTATTGCTAGACTATAGCCCATCTTTTAATTAAGGTGCTTACTGATGAAGTCTGTTGCTTTGGCAGTTTTTCAGTGCTGTTACGATCTAATGAAAACAAGCAATATTCCTGTGGTAATAATATAATAAGAAAAACACTCTTAACTGGGATTTTAGAGGTAATACATTTTGGCTTTTTGTGGCTCACTATTGGCAAATTTCTTCATTTAGAGGATGAAAAATTAATGTTGGTGTTTCTTGTAAAATTCATGCAGCAAGCATTGTTACTCAGTATTTGAAAAGGCCATATACTCTGTAGGTTTGCACTGGAAATTAGGGTCTATGTTGTGAATTTTTGATATTCCTTGCCTTTACAGTTCTAACATAGGTTTGTATTTATACTGTAGATATATGAGGATTCCATTGTTCTTCAGTCTGTGTTCAAAAGTGCACGACAGAAGATTGCCAAAGAAGAAGAAAGTGAGGATGAAAGCAATGATGACGAAGATGATGAAGAAGAAGAAGAATCAGAATCAGAATGTGAGTCCTCTGCTAAATACTGAAAAGAAAGTACATCTGGGGATGGAAGAGGAGGTTTTCCATTTTCTGCATAGAGACTGATTTTAAGAGTCTATTTTACGTTGGTGAAAGTAACGTCTTACTAAGTTTGCATTTAACATTCAGCTTAAGGCTTTTGGCTATACCTCTTGGTTATTAAACTGTTGTAAAGCCAGAAACAAATCACAGAGGTGCTTTGTGGAAGCAGACCTGACTGGCCATGAGTGTTTATAAACCCCTCTGGTCCTGTTCATGTTTTTGTAGAAGTGCCTGGAAAGGCTAGAGACAGTCTTTATCCATGGCGGGTCAGCCTTCAGCCGTGGTGTGAGATACAAAACTCATCACTTGGTTAAGATGTTGCAAATATTCTTCAGGGCAACAATGACTAAGTGAAACTCCGCTTGTTTCAGAAGTAGGAGGGGACACTCATTCAGAAACATGATATAGTGGAAAAGGAGGGATCCTGTCATTCCACTTTCTGTGTAGTACTTTTCCCTGAGCTACTCTTCCAAGTATATCAAGTGGGTGTGCAAAGCATGCAACTTCAGCAGTTCACTTAGAAATTGCTGGGTATTCTGGAATCAGGAATTTACGTGTTCTTCAGAAAGCGTCAACTCAAAATTTGCTGGTCACCTCCACATAGCATAAAGAATTGTCAAAGGATAAACATTTCTATGTGCAAGGAAGAAAATATTTTTAGAATTGTGTCATCCCACAGGATTGTATACCACCTGAAGACACTGTGCATTCTGAGAATGAAAAGAAGATGCACATGGTCAACTTAAAGTTATTCTTTATAGCTTAATATAAATTACTGTTAAAACTATCAAAAAGTAGAGAAATAAAAGCAATTATGCCTGCTTCATTGTTCCACGGTCCAGATAAAGAACAGAGGGGAATATCTTTTCAGGCTGCTACCAGGGCTGAATTTCCTTGAACAGAGACAGCATTTGAAAGTTGGTAAGTGAAAGTTATATTCATGTATGCTGTTAATATTTTCACAGCAAAATCAGTGAAAGTCAAAATCAAGCTAAATAAGAAGGATGAAAAAAGTCGGGAGAAAGGAAAAGGCAAGAAGAGGCAAAGCCGAGCAAAAGCCAAGCCTGTCGTGAGTGATGATGATAGTGATGAGGATCAAGATGAAAATGTAAGTTTTGTTCACTGAGACTGTGGAAGTGGTTGCAGTGATTGCATCTCTACCCTCTCCTGCTTGCTGTCAGAATTCTCAACTATTTATGCTTAAGCACATTTTTGATCTGTATTGATCATCTTAAGAGAATTGGGCAGGGTATTAACTGTATCTGGGTGTGTTTATGAGATCTGGTCCCAGTGCTGAAAGACAAGAAGTTTAAGAAGTTTGGAGCTTGTTTCTTGGAGCTGTTCCTACTTGCATTTAACCTTTAACCCTCATGATCTGTTTGCTTTTGTCCACAGATGAAAAACTCTTAGGCTGATTTTATTTTGTTTTGGTTTGGTTTTTTTTGTTTTGATGGGTGCTTCTGCTATTGCAACAAATAAAAACAGACCTCTTCACAGTTGTTTTTATATGTCTGGGTAAAAAGAAAGATCTGGTGTTTCCTGACTGTCTTTTCTTCTCTAAAATCTACAGCAATTAAATGAAATGTCGTGTAAGATAAATATTAGCTAACATAGTAACTTTCTTAAGGCTATCTTGATTTGTCAGTTTAATTGTCATTCTTCTTCCTTTTACTTACTTTTTTTTTCCTTCTTTAACAAATTCCACAGAATAGCTGGCAAAGAATTTCTGACTTGTCTTGTGTCTCTTACCTCTAGGACCAGTCGGAAGCAAGCGGAAGTGATGATGAGTGATCCATAGGGTTTATTTTCTTGCCAGAACTGACCCCTTCCCCTTCTCTTCTCCCTTCTCTATTTTACACCCAGTGAACTCACTTTGTCAAATAGACATTGGGTTGTTTCTGTATTCTCATTCTCTATAAATTAGCTTTAGGATAGTGCCAGACAAACATATGATATCATGGTGTAAAAAAGGAAAAAAATGTAACATATTGTGACCAAATGGGCCTCAAAAGATTGAAGAACAAAACAAGAAAAAAAAACCTTTTGATGGAAAATGTGGGTTGATAGTATATTTCTATGGGCTGATTTTAACTTGGTAATGATTTGATTATGCCTGGTTTTATCATTTGATAGAATGTTTTTCAGTGGCATCAGAAAGACAAAAAAAAAAGTCTTTTGTAGCATTGATAACCAGGAGAAGCCATTAAAAGCCACTGGTTATTTTATTTTTCATCAGGCAGTTTTCAAAGTTTTTATCCGTTCTGTATTGGTTTTTTACACTGTGGTACATATATGCAACTTTGTTTTATAGCTTATAAATGTACAGTAGTTAGCCTTCATCCACCTTCTCCCACATACATTTTTCCACTTCACGCTTGATAATCTTCAAAAAAATGCTTTTTGAATTGTATCAAATTTATGTCTACTGTAAACTTTGCTTAACTTTTTTTTTCCTCAATTAAAAAAGTTAGGTTAAAAAATGCTATGGAATATTGCAATCTATATAGAGTAATGAATGGCTTCTTTCATCAGACTGATCTTCTATGTTACCGATGTGGATTATCACCTTTTCCCTAAAGTGTACTTAATCTTTGCTTTCTTTGCACAATGTCTTTGGTTGCAAGTCATAAGCCTGAGGCAAATAAAATTCCAGTAATTTTGAAGAACATGGTGTTGGTGCTTTCCTAATAAAGAGATAATTTAGCTCAATAGGTGTAGCCTTGTTATGACTCCATAAAGACCTTTTTGTAGTAGGGATGAGAGGGCACAAAAATGTCTCCTATAGAGAGGTCCACTGTGGTCTGTCCTGAATGTAAAATAAGAACTCATTCAAATACCATAGAAGTATCTTCAGAGACAGAGAGGAGATAGGCAATACATGTTAAAATAAGAATAATAAAATTGAAGTAGTAAAATAATACCTTGAAGTAAAAGTGTAGTTCATTACCTAATTACAACTGAAGTTATTAAACAATAAAATAAACATTTCTTTTTCTTTCAGGAAATGTGTGTCTATAGGCCTCAGGGGCCTCATAGAGCATCAATGCAATTAGTTATGCAGGCAGTCAGCCCACCTGTACATCAGTTTATTTTAAGTATTATCTTCAGGAATCAGGGTTGTGAGGCACTAAGATGTGGAAGTGTAAACATCTGAACTACATATCTACACTTAATGTTGCTAGTCTGGAAGATCAAAACTTCTTTAATTGAACATATATTGAGTAGAAAATATGCAAGCCTAGGAAGTGATTTGTAAACAGAATATTTCTGTGTTATCTGAACTGCGTGTTTCTCACTGTGTGTCTACACCACATCTCTTTATACTGCTTTGCAGTATGTTAGCTGCTTCGGATTTTTCTGAGTCAGTTGAAAAGAGATTTTTAAGTTTGTCTGGTGCCCATTGGTATGTATTAGCCCTGCACTGAAATAAGTCTGTTTTGCTTAGTTTTAGCAATTTCAAACATTTCATTCCTAGTGTGTGCCCCATCTGAATTGAAGACCATGTATTTCACAGAGAGATACTGTTGATCTCGGAGGGACACATTGATGAGACCAGTGCCTGAAGCAGCTTTGCAGAAAACAACCTGCTAGTCCTGGTGGACACTAAGTTGAACATGAGCCAACAATGCCTTGTGACAAAGGTTAACAGTATCCTGGACTGCATTAGCAGGGGCATTGGACCAGATGACATCTAGAGGTCCCTGCCAACCTCAGCCATTCTGTGATTCTGTGATATGGGACAGTTTAGTTTGCAGAAGCCATTCTGTCTTCACTGACAGTTTCATGAGACCATACATAAATGTTATTTTTTCACTGCAAGATGAATGAAGTCTACCAACTTGTTGTGCATGACAAGAAACATCTGGCAGTAGGCTTCAGTCACTGCTGGCCTAGACTGAATTTAAACTAGCAACTTAGATGTAAAAGGCACGGTATCGTGTTACCCAACCCCAGAATGCCTGATGACTTTGCAGTGACCCAGTTTGATATATTTTTCAGGAACTCATTATTTACAGATGAGTGTTCAGCTGGAGAATAAAAATGAACTAAGGAGACCCAATATTTCTGTTAAAAATTAAAGTAACTTTTTTTTTTTTAGTCAATAACTGTAAGCCATATGAGAATATCGGTTTGCATGAAGAAATACATTTGAATTCTTAGCTGCAGTTTTTGTTTTATCAGGTTTAAGTAATTTCAGATTATTTTCAGTTTCCCCTTTGAATTTCAGGAAAAATTGCAATTATTTTTATCATAGATTAAAACTCATTTATGACTGTTAAGTCATGCCTATGCCTCCTCTGCAATTGGTCCTGTTATTTTCCCTAGGATTTGAATTACTTTCTACCCAGAGTAAGTTTTTAATTGTTGTCTTGCTCTTTCTCTGGATGAATTTACTGCATTTTTCAAGATGAAGTTTTTTTCTGGTAATCTCAGCACTCAGTATATGAAGAAAAAGGTTCTGGTAAATCATTGTCACAGGTAACGTTCCAAATTCTTTACAAGAAATGAGGAGGAGATCCTTTTTTAAGGTAAGTACAAATCCGTGTTAAAGATGGAAGCACACTTTCTTTCCTGCAGGTTTCCCTTTCTAGTACACATTGACATGCAAAGCACTCGGAATACCTTTTGGAGAATACACAGATAAAAGCACAATGCTGAAATCCGTATTGAGGGAAATTAACTCATTTTCTACCTTAATTTCAGAAGATTGTCTGGTAAAATTGGAAACAGTGTAGCTTGGGCACTGAGGAAGATAAGCAAAGTGAAGTAAATAGCAGGAGGTTTTCTTACTGAATCTGCTTCTCCTGGAAGGTAGGCAGCAGTATAAGTGGGCCAGATGAATAACATTTAACAGCTTTTGTACATTCTAGATGCTATCAATATACTCTTTTCACCTCACACGCCTTCTGAAAGAAACAAAGAAAATGCAAAACCTTTTGCTCGTTAATATAAATGGCTTCCTGCTTAAGCATACCTAGGCCTCAGTGCCAAGTATTGCACTGGCTATGTTTTCAGACCCATATATATTTTTATTTTCCATGTCACGTATAGCATTTTTAGAATAGAAGTGTCAGGGTGTTCCCCGGCCCTGGTGGTGTGCTCTTCACTCACTCACTCACGCACCCACGCAGCTCATGAACAAAGCTGGCGATTCAGTGATTGTTGTAGCAGAGAGACATGGTAGGGTGTGCCACAGCAAATACTGCTACAGGTTCTGTGCGCTGTAAGACAAAGGCACAGCTGATGCAGTAGTAAGCCTCAAAGTAGCATGCAGTTATTAAGCTGTTGGTACATGCTCAGTCCTGTCAACTACCAAAGCAGTGCATTAATAACTCCGTTAATAATGCACAATCTACTGTCACTTTTTCATTAAAAACGCTTGGACAACAGGGTTTACTGAACATGTTATCTAGTCTAGAAAACAGGTCACAACGTGTTAAAAACAAAATCAATTTTTTTTATAAAGACATTTTTAGACTGGTCTGTTACTTTGCAATCTACTCATCCTCTGAAAAAGCTCTGGAATATTTTAAAATTCCTGCAAAAAAAATCCATTTTGAATTTTGAATAGGGACTTAAACTGTAAGCTGAAACATGACTGTAAACCAAGTTCTGTAGGTTCACAAAAAAGGGCTAGCAAAAGTAGGTTTTGTATGTGTGTTTACCGTAAGATGGGGAAGTAAGGTGAAGGCACGCAAAGAGGAATAATACGCGATTTGACTCTTTTGCAGTAGAATTGTATATTATTTTAGGAGTCACTCACCCCTAATCTTGCTGTGCTAAACAAGGGATAGAAGGTAGACAGGACAAAAATAAGCAGAGGATGTGAAACAAATTACCAGTCGGCATTTACTTCCTTGTGTTTTACTGAAACTACATCCCCTTCAGTGGGTACGGAACTTTGTACATTGGGCCTGTGCAGTCATACATTTTAAGCGTTTAAACATGTTTGTGCTTGGGGTAACTTCGTTAATTAATATGAAAACCAAAAATTCCATGAAGGACTATCCAAAGACAGCCTGCTTATTCTCTGTGAGGAAAGTCAGACAATCAGATTTTATCCAACAATTATTTAAATGTGACATAAACCAAAGTTAACTGAAGGTTGCAGCACCACTCTCTTGTTTCCCCTTAACAACCAAGAGTTCACCTTCTCCTGAAATAAGAGAAGGTTGGTGCAGGTGTATCTCTACATCTTTCTCATGTGGAGGTCACACCTGCTTTCCAGACACTAGTCCTTGTCTATCCGTTTGATTTACTTGTGAGGGTTCTGAATGTGGCAATATTTACCATACCTTTGACTCTACATTCACACAGAGAGCTAGGTATACTCAAGAACATACTGCCTTGATCTGAGGCTGTTATGAAATAAAATATTTTTATTCCCCTGCCTCAATTGTAAGGAGCTTGTATGTCAATCTGTCTGGTATTTTACTTCTCCCTTGTTTTCACGACCACAGCAGACATACTAAGAGAAAAATTCTTCTCCAATTAGATGACAGGTTGTATTTTCTTCCCATGTGCGCCAAGTTGCTGTCAAAGGGTGTATCACAACAAACTCCAACATGAAGTTCTTGCATTTTCAAAGTGGCCAGAAGACTTGTATTGGAAATTATACCTGAGACAAGGACCATTTTCACAACTTCTAGCTTGGGCAGCTCCTTCCTGAGTTTGTGGTTGGTATTCAGTGTCCTATTTTCATGCACAATCCAGAGCTGTGGTGACATACACTGATGCTTCATTACATTTACCACTTTTGCTGGGACAGACTGGTTTAAGCTATGTATTGCATCCTCTCCCACTTGTGAATACAACTGTTACACAGGCTATTCTCACACCAGGAGATGGACGTAAAAATAAAGAGAAGACCCCAATACTAAGACGTAAATTCACTGCAAATGAAAAAACTATATGCCAAACATCATTTTATTTCTCTGAAACAGCTGTAGTTTGGTGGAGGTGAATTTATATCTGCTTGTGTTATTTGTATTATGTTTTATATCCCATTTTACTGTAGTAGTATCTATTACGTGCATTCTCCTTTTGAGCTTCCAGCATAGTTGCTCATCTGTCCATCACCTTCCATTGAAATCAATTTTTTATGCATTTGGATGCCTTACAGACTTGAAGCCGTTACTGCTACATTGTGCAGCATTACTTCCCATCTCCTTTGTCCTTCAAACATGAGAGAAGAAGAAGAAGAAAAAGGCATTGTCTGGCCATTCACTTAAGGCTTCTCATTTTCTGAGACCACGACACCTTGTTGCTATTAGTGCCATTATCTGCTGATGCAACCTTAGGGACCTGTGAGTGCTCCTGCAGTTCTTGGAGCAGTTCTTAAGATCAAGAAGCAAAGCAGTGAAGCTGAGCGTGTCTGACATTCTGCTGATGCACAAAAGACGGTAACTGTTCCATGTCAGTGCACTTAAGCACTTAGAAGCAGTAATTAAAATACGTATTTAAAACTTCAGAATTCATTTAAACTACGTAAGGGTCAGTTTTATCAGAATAAGAGCATTTTACTTCTGCTTTGGAAACCTTTATTAGACAAACTTCCGTTGCTGCACCACTGGATGTAACTTTTTGTGCCATTTCTTCATGCCATCCTCATATCCTATTGTTTCTGCTTGACAGTCAAGATTTAAATCCTGGTCATCTTTAG